TAAATAATCCCTCTATCAAATCTTCCTATTAATCCCATTAATAATTCCTATTAATTCCTGCTGGGGCCCTGACTGACAGAGCAAATACATTCTAAAATTTATCTTAAATTTTAAAAACAAGCCGTTTCAAAATGCTCCACTTGAAGCTCCATTCTCCTGAAAACAGACACACAAGAAGCACTGCATCCTGAAAATCTAGGCTTTTAAGATTTGTGAGGAAGACATGCTATGAACTTCCTTTAGGGAACAAACCTGTATCTCTTTTACTGTGACATATTAACTAAAAATGCTCAAATTTAAACTTCCTTTAGCCTTACCTCAGCCCAAAGAGAAAGAAAAAGAACAGAACACTACCTCTGTCTTATGTAGTCTCAACAATTTTGGCAATCATTTTATGTTATGATTATATTAACTTACATTGTTAGTTTTCCATATACATATTTTAGGTCTCTTAATTACACTGTACATTAATGCTGAGGACCTGGACTATATCTTACATTTGTTTTCCTTGCCTTCATTCATGCCTTGCAATAGTCTGCAATAGTTCCTTTAAGAGAGAATATATTTGATAAATATTTGTTGACAGTTGGAAACAGTTATCAATAGAAACAGAACATAAGGAAGCATTAAAGCTAGCCCCAAGAGATAGGCTCACTTACTTTAGTATTTTCTTATTTGCCTTGCTTTATCAAGAGATTTTGTCTCCAGAAGAAAAAAAAATAAAAGCTTCACTGTAAGGTGAATGTAAAATTTTAGGAAAACAGCTGTATACCCATCAAGATTATTTTCCACAAGTAGCCAACATGAAATAGAATTTACAACAGAGACAGGAAGAAGAGTAGGTGGAGTTAGAATAGAAGGAAATGAGGAGGCGCAACAAGAATTAATTACTGGTAATTACACATGCTACAGCCTCTCTTCTTTCTCCACCCTCTATCTAATCAACAGAGGGAACAGATGTGGTCTGTGGTACTGGGGAGGGCGGGTGCTTAACAGCTGTTTGGAGAACATGCCATTAAAAAGCAGCCTTGTCCACAGAAACCCAAGAATTTTACCATTTGAAAGAAAAGAGGTAATGAATAATGACCACAGTCTTACTTTGAACTTCAGCTCATTCAGGCCAAGGATAACTTTTCCTCCTGATTTCTGATGAACTATGGCAGTAGCTTCGATATTTTCTGTTATGAGTACCTCAATATTTGAATCTATTTCATATACCTCATCCAAGTACTCCTGAAACCAGTACAAAGACCGAACTACTCCTTACTGAGTAAGTAGTCAATAAATATTAACTATGATATTGATGATTACCAAAAAAACTATTCAAATTCCTACTATAGGGAATACCAAATTAGGGTTGAAACAGTTTCAAATTTCTCAACTGTCTTTCTGGATGTTCTTCCATGGGATAAGAACTCTAAACAACATGGAAATCAGAACATCCCAGTTTACATCTTGAAAAATTTAAAGACTGTAGTATACTGTCATTGCATATAATCTTTCCTAAAAAATAAAAACACAAACTAAAGCCCATAAATAAATTTAAAATACAACACAACCACCCAGGGTTTAACAGGAAATGCAGTTACTGAAAAAATAGAAGTTTCAGCATCTTTTCAGTAAGAAGCTGTTTTTGCTTCCTCCCAAGTCTGATGCCTGCCAGCTGGGCAGGGATGCGGGGGAGGGTCACAGGCATTCTCACCCCATCTGGGACACCCCCTCAGCCCAAGGAATGGAGATAGGCGGCACAGGCCTGGCTTCAGGAACTACCAGGTGACTGCTATCTATGATCTGAACCTCTTGTGCTAGAATAGCAGGGGAGCTTTTTGACTTCGGAACCAATTAGGTTCCAAAAAGCTGTGAACAAGTCCATTTGTTCACAAATCCAAAGTGAAATTCAATACATGACTGATTATGCTACTGATTGATAGCAAGCACATTGACTGACTGTGCTCAAACATCAACTGTTGGAAGCTTTGAAAGTTCTTGAGTACCTTTAACAATTGCACGTTCTTCTTAGGTTATGGTATATAGGTGCATAGGCGCATAGAATATTTGAGAGCATGTATATATTCATGTGCACTTGGAGGATACTACGCTAATTTCCCATACCTAATCTTACTAAATTGAGCTTGCGTACCTTCACATTTACTTCTGTGTATTTTGGGGGCAACTTAAAAAATTTCATTCAGTTTCAGTATATGTCAATTGCATGAACTGTGATTCAATCCTGTTGGGGATAATTAGAGAAAGATGGAGCTAGGGTTGGGAAAAGAAAAGAAAGGTAAAAGCTAATGGCAGAACAGGAATAAAAATTTTTAGAATGAAACCATAGGAGAAATAAAAGGAGGTAAGTGCAAGCACACTTGGGACCCAAAAGTATACACTGATAATCGCATCTAGGAGTCAGCCGTGAGTGGGAGTCGGGGGTGGGGAGCCCCAGGGAGCTGGGCATCAATAGTTTCTGAGGCTGAAAATCAGAAAGGCAATGAACAGCTAAGATGGAAAACCAGCCGTGGGGGTGGAGAGGAAATGCCTTAAAGCATGCTTATTACCTGCAATGAAGCAAAATTTCTACTGAACAAGGGATAGTATTTGAAAATGAATAGTTAGTATCCCTTATTACTAAATAAAACAGTATAAATGAAAGGGCCATTTGTATTATATCCAGAAGACATATTTAACTGCATATAAATGTTGTTTATTCCTAAGAGCTTCCATAGATCCACTCTCAACTTTGGATCCGCTGTGACTAGTTTCCATGAGGACTAAAGTCCTCAGACTGAAATTCTACATCCATGACAATTTTCAGGAACCTATTCCTCCTGGTGAGTAAAGGACAATACCCTTCCTTTGCAATTCACCAGGATGAAGCTATTCTTTTTTTTTTTTTAAGATTTTATTTATTTATTTTTAGAGAGAGAGGAAGAGGGTAAGGGAGGAAGAAAGAGAGGGAAAGAAACATCAATGTATGATTGCCTCTCATGCACCCACCACTGGGGACCTGGCTTGCAACCCAGGCATGTGCCCTGACTGGGGATCGAACCAGCAACCCTTTGGTTTGCAGGCCAGCACTCAATCCACTGAGCCACACCAGCCAGGGCATATTCTTTTTGCTGTTCCCTGCAAACCCACCTTTTGATCCCTAGAAATAATTTTACCCGCAAAAGAGCACATAAGAAAGTTTAAATTAATCCTTCACCCTGAATTATGTTGCTTTTCTGCATCAGCAAAGACACATTACCATGCAAAATAATGAGGATTTTTTTGGGGTTTTTTTTTTGTCTGATAGAGAATATATTTGGGAGAGAAACGGGAGCTTCTGGCAAAAAAATAAAGGCTTCATTACTTCAGCTTTAAATGTAAATTAGGCACTCAGCAGCATGCAAGTTAGGACAATTTTCCTTACACAAGATAAGATGAATTATATTTTATTCCTTAGTTCTTAACAAGAATCACTTCCTTAGACATACCTAACCCTTAAACAAAGGCTGTTCTTTGTCACAGCTAGGGAAATGTTTTTATTACTGATGTTCTTTAAATATGTATGAATAAAAACCTCTTTTCTATACTCATGCTCATAACAAACTGCTACTGAGGCAAAGAATATGTATCTGAAATGAATATAGACATAAAAGGGGGAATATTTGCTTTACATGTGAACATTACACATCACCCCGACTAGTGGAAAGGCCTTTAAAAAAAACAGCTGTCTTTTGAGGTTCTAACATTGTCTGACTTTGCAAGAAAGTGATGGCTTTTAAAAGTGAAAAAGGCATTAAGTACACATCTGATCGCACAGAACCAGGCTAACATAACAACTACCAGTGTTTCATGGGGTTTTACTCTTGTTTTTAAAAGCTGATCACTTCTTTCATGTCCATACAATTTTCTCCATATATCTGGAACTCAGTGTATTCAAATGTCTCTTATTCTCTAAAACCTTGAACAAGACCTATCTGATCCTGGCCTTCCGCAAACAGGCCTCTTGACTATAACCAGCCACTCAGGAGACCATTCTTATTTATTCAGTCAAGGATCAAAGAAATGTTGGTCCTAGTTCATCTGAATACATTATAGGATACTGCAGCTTTAAACCTGAACTTCCCTAAATCACCCATGGCAAAAATATAGTTCTGGGATATCAGTCTGGATTTTTCCTTTAGTTAGTCCTGCACAACTTAGATATGTAAGTAAAACGAAGAAAGGGTAAATGGGATATGCTCAACATCTTAATGAATTAAGTTTTAACACCTAAGATCCTAACAGGTGATTTCAAAATTTAATATCAGCTTTACACTTGAGAGATTCTCCAATTGCCAAATGCCTTTCCAAGCTAAACTCTCTAATATTTAATCTGATGAATGTACCATTGACCTAAATTTTTGCATCATGGAATCTTAACTATATGAATCATCTTAAGATTATTGCTAGTCACTTTTCTTTATAGGATTGCCATGCATTTTCTAAGTAGTGCACAATCACATTCCGATTTTTCTGTTGTACTTCAGCACATACCCACAGAAGGCAGAGAAATTGGACGTTTTTGTTATTACATGAGTTTCTACTTCAAATGTCCACTGCTGCTTACCTGTAAGATCTGTTACTTAATTAAGTGCTAGGAAAATTAAAAGTTTATGTGTATTTTTTAAAAGGATACTTAAAAATACATATTTTACACCATATAAACAGGCTCAATAAATGTATTTAGAAACAAATCTTGCAGATAAATTTACAAACAATTGCAAAATTATTTGATAGCCTTCCCCCCAAACTAAGTTAGATTTTCCAGAACAGTGTTGTCCAATACTAATATGGCTAGTGGCTACCATGCCTATTGAACACTTAAAAGGTGTCTATTATGGCTAATTAAAATTTTATTTCAAGTAATTCAAATTGAGATTTAAGTAGCCATCTGTGGCTAATGGCTACTATACTATACAGTTCAGATCTAGAACACTGATATCTACAGGAGTAATGTGCATAAAGAACACTCTTATGCGCTTGCTTCCACAGCACATGTACTAAAATTGGAATGATACAGAGAAGATTAGCACGGTCCCTGTGGCAAGGATGACATGCAAATTTGTGAAGCGTTCCATATTTTTTTATACAAAATAGTCATAGGGATGTAAAGTACAGCATAGGAGATACAGATAATAATGTAGCAATAACTATGTATGGTGCCAGGTAGATACTTGGAATTGTTGGGGGGAATCACTTTGCAGACTGTGCAATTGTCTAATCACTACGCTATACACCTGAAACTTATAGAAATATTGAATGTCCACTGTAATCAAAATAAAATTTTTTAAAATAAAAACAATACAAAAATAGCAACAAAAAAAAAAGAAGCTGTTACTAATTGGAATATATTTTAAGAACGAATGGTATGGAGACTGAAAAAAGGTAGAACAGCATTGTATTTTTATTGACTAAAAAAATCAGTGAGAGGTTTTTGAAGGACAGTCCCACCCCAAAAAGCCAGATACTGAGTCTTAGCTTTGCTTTTCATCTCCAATGATCAATTTGGTGTTAAGAATCCTTATAAGTATAATCTAAAATTTCGTAAAAGAACTAAATTTGTCTGTAAAAGAAAGCACTGTGAGAGTTCAAAGGGGACAAACACATTTCCCTATTTTCTAGGCCAAAAACTTACAGTAAGACAGAATGGGTTGGCTAGAAAGCAGAAATGGTTACCAACATACATATACATTATACTTCTACCTGTGAAATTCATTAGAAAATTTAGGTGAAAGGGCTCTGTGAAAGCTACAAAGCACCACACACCTATATCATGATTGCTGCTACCACTACTGTTGTTGTTGTTACGGTTCTTGCCTTCAAGAGACTTGCAGACTGGTACCTACCAAGGCTTTGCTGGTTGCCCATAGGGTTTGGAGGACGTATAGATAGTGATATCACCTTGTTTGGATTACTGAAAACACAAGCACTGATGTGGACAAATGTGGCAGCCACTGGGTCTTAACATTGTTTGTTTTAATAGTTAACTAGATGGTCCTTTAACCCTGATTGTGGACAGCTGATATACAGACAGTAATTGAGGGAGGGAACAATAAAAGAATCTAGTAAGTGAAATTGGCTCATAATTCCAAAGTTTGAGTCTCCATTATACCTCAAGTCATGCCATTCCTCCTTGGAGGCAACTACTTTTCATGTTCCCTGGATCTTTTATAGGAAATTCTAGTATATTCCTTACTTTTAAAAAATCTAACATGGATGCTTGGGTTCCAGGACTTTCTAGGTTTTATTTTGGTATTTCCTACATTTTCAAATAAATTTATTTTTCCTCCACTAGGACAGATCAGCCTTTCCCATTAAAACAACTGATTTTTAAGAACGAGGGTTTGGCATCTGTGTCATATGAAAGACAGACGTGTAACTGTCTATAAATTTAAACAGGTAAAACTAAATTATTGGCAATACATGAGGACAATTCTAATGGATTCACACATCCTTGAATGAAAAGCAAAAAAAAAAAAAAAAAAAAAAAAAGCCACCCTCCGAAAATAAAACCTACCTGCACAATGGATATGGCAGTACTTTGTGGAAATTAACCAAAAGACTATATATGTGCATGCTTCACCTTAGAATTTGAAAACCTCTAAAGGCGATCTAAGTGTAATCTTAGGAAGCAGGCCTAGAATGCGCCTTGTCATTTAGTAAATTGGATTATAGTTTGGTTCAAAAAAATTGTGTGAACAAAGGAAAACAGTCACCATAGAAATAAACCCAAAGAACCAGACATTGTCAAGCTTTACTGTGCAGCATTATTCAGGGGAAACCCAAATAGTCCATGTGGCAGGTGTATCCTAATCATGGATTATCTAACCCAGTCTCTTTGTTTTGATTCCATTCTCACCAAGCAACCTTGTGATTATAATTTGGCTTCCCATGTGGCTTGTCTATAAAGAGAAAATGCACTAATCTCTCAGTTCAACCTCACCAGTCTAATTAACAGCTGTAGTTCTCACTTCAAATGAACAAATTGGCATTGGGGCATGTACATGTGAGCCTGACCATCCGCAGTGTGTGCCAAGAGAGTCAGATTTCTGAGCCTCTAAGAATATAACCTCCTTGTTCATCGCTGACCCTCCTGTGCCTAGCACAGTGCATGGCTCATGATAACCACTCAGTAAATATCAAGCTGAGATCCAGAGACCTAAGGTGACTTCTCCTAGTGTCTCTCAATTCAAATGGCAATAAATACTAAAAGGACATAAATGTTCAATATAAAACGACCAGAAAATTAAGTCCATTGCAAATAAAACAGTCAAGTATTATAGTATTAATATACCTAAAACTAATTTACTTGACATACTAAACATTAAGAAACTAGAAATACTTTGTTTTCAGGCCTAAAATATAAGTGTTTTCCTCTATCCTTTGAAAAACTTCCCCATGACAAGCAAAAACACTCAATCATTCAGAAGCTTGATTTATTCAGTACTCATGAATGCTCATTTTTTAAAGTGATAATGGTTTTTCCCACTGAAACCATTTTGAAGAGTTAACCAACATTTTTCCTTTCACCTTTCTCTATCTCCAAAATTTATTCTGAATATCCAGATGAGCTATTTCATATCAAATCCAATAGAGGCAAAGATGACTAGAAAGTGCCAAGTTACCCAGTTCCATATCGCGATTAGAGCTATTAAAGCATGTTCCAACTGGCTAGATGTCACAAAACCAAAATCCCAGACATTCTGCTTCCACCTCTGGACAAACCCTATCACCGAAAGTAACCTCTGGATGGCAGAAAAAACAATTACCTTAAGGTCCTAGAGGGTAACCACAAAATGGGTCAAAAATGGAGGGAAGCCGACTGTAACTGGAGAAAAGGCAAGACTCAGGGCCAAGTGGCCCATTTTTCTAACTTTCTGCCTGAGGGCAGCTGCCTGCCAGCAGTCACCAGAGGTGCTGTGTGGAGCAGCAGGCTAACTGGACTGAAGAGCCAGAAGACAGACATAGTAGCTGGTAAAGAGAAAAGACACAAATTACCAATATTAAGAATGAGAGAGATGGCACCAGTACCAATTCTACAGCTATTAACGAGACAAAAAGGGAATACTATAAACAACTTAATGCCACTAAACTGGACAAATTCCTTAACAGACACACACTACCAAAGAAGAGGCAGGTAGCCCTGACCAGTGTGACTCGGCTGGTTGGAACGCTGTCCCGTAGACCAGAAGGTCACAGGTTTCATTCCTGGTCAGGGCACATGCCCAAATTGCGGGTTCAATCCCCAGTCGGGGCACATATGAAAAGGCAACCAATAGATGTTTCTCTCCCACATCACTGTTTCTCTCTCCCCGCCTCCACTCTGCTAAAAGCAATGAAAAACTGTCCTCGAATGAGGATAAAAAAGAAGAAACAGATGACCTAAACAGTCTTATATCTGTTAAAAAGACCGAACTGGTAGTTTCAAACTTTTACACAAATAAAAGTCCATGCCCAGATAGCTTCAGTGGTGAATTACTTGAAACATTTAAGGAGGAAAAAAAGTACCAATTCTACACAAACTTTCCCAGAAAACTGAAGAGGAAGGAATACTTTTCAAGGCATCTTATGAGGCTAGTATTACTCTGGTCTGATGGACACTAACAAAGATATCACAAAAAAAGCCAACTTAAGACCAAAATCCCTTGTGAACATAAATGTAAAAATTCTTAATGTTTTAGCAAATCAAATTCTCTTTAAAATACATAAAAAAGAAAGCATATCATGACCAAGTGGGGTTTTCCCCAGGAATGCAAGGTTAGTTTAACATTTGAAAATCCATCACTGCAAGTCACCATATTAACAAACTAAAAAATAAAGCAACAACAAAAAACCCTATATTACTGATCATCTCAATAAACATAGAAAAAAGGCATGTGAAAAATTCCAGCATCTAGTCCTGATTTAAAAAAAAAAAAAAAAACTCTCAAGAAAGAAATCTCTTCAACCTGAAAAGAAAGTCTAAGAAAAATCCATAGCTTCAGGTCTGTTTTCCTCCTAATGTCAGGAACAAGGATTTCCACCCTCGATACATCTACTCAGCATGATACTGGAATAGGCACTGCCAAATCTCATCTTGCCTGTTTGTAAAATATAAGTTAAAAAATACCAATTAGGAAAAATGAATGCAAATGTTAGAAAAAGCACAATGGAGATACATGCAAATGTACTATAGGAAAAAAAAGAACAGTATCTCTTTCTAGCTGGCTGGGGCTAGGGGAAAAATCTCTGTATAAGCACATACTGCTAATAACCACAAATACCCATTGTAGCGACATGGTGGGAACATGCTGTGGAAGGACCTCAATTTATGTCAGAATAAACCGTATGAAACAGCTGATATTCAACCACTGTTGCCCTTATAAAAAGGATGGCAATTACATTATGCTACAACCATTAGCAGGGTGGTTTAGAGCACAGACTCTGGAGCCAAACTGCCTAGATTCAAATCCCAGCTCCACTACTTACTGGCTACACGACTTTGGGCAGGTTACTAACCTTAGTCTCCTCATCTATAAAATGGGTATACAGCAATGTCTATCTACTTCACGGGTTTGTTCTGAAGAGTTAAAGAGCTTACATATATAAAGCACCTAGAACAGTGCCTGGCACGTGGCAATGCCAGTGTGAGCTAGTATATCTTCAATCCCAGCTGGGGCTCTGGCACTCTCCCTCTATGAGAAGGTTCTCTCACCTGCTTCCTCCACTGGTACAACAGGGAGGTTCAATCAAGACTGGTTCTTAAACTCTATTTTCTACAATTGTGAAAGCAAAGGACAAAAGCTTCCTATCACCATACTGAACTAGCAAAAGAATATCACCTGCCTAAGGACTCTCTGAGGTCATTCTTCAGTTTCTTCCAGAACTGACAAATGAACCTCAAGGTTAGAAATCAGTATCCTGGACTGAAATCATTTAGGTAAATCAGTCATCTTCAGAGCAATGGCTTCCCAGCAGGCTTTTATAGCAAACTTTTATAACATCTCCAGTCATCCTAAGAAGTTCAACAGATAAAATCGATACTTGTTCAAATCCTCGAGTGTGCTGAGGGTCAAGAACTTCCACATAACATAGTCATTAAAAT